TGTGAGGGAGGTTTACGACCGGTTCAACATTGATTAAGTATGCTATCAACTTGCCTTACCACAGCTCAAGCCGGCAACTCATTTCGAACGCTCTGCGCGCAGACACGGCTGTGATGCTGTTAACCAGATCCACACGGACTGGTGAACACATATCCTCAGTCCATCGATGTGTACTACGAACATAGAAGACCGATGCTCAAATTGACCGGGTCGGGCCTGATGGATCATTGTCCATGTTTGTGTTGCCGCCTGTCCGCTCTGAAAATTGACACTGCTGAATCAGTACGCCAGAGCTTGCATCTCATGTCCAACAAGGTGAGTTTTTGGCTTTACTCTCCGGTCATGAATTTTGTTTAGGTTTGCTATGACTGACTTTGCTATACGAACGGGTGTCAATGTCATATTGTGGTGATTCAGATTCTTGCGTGTGAAAAGGATCGTATACGGCTGGGGACCCCAATCAGCTTCTTCACTCCCCAATCATCAGTATCATGGATGATGACTGCCATCGATTTCTTCAGGAAGGAGGGTTAGTCCCTATCTGTAGTCTAGACTGCTCTCACCTATCTGTCTAGCTTGATCGCTGTTCTAATCATGTCGCTCATCACCTTACTACCAATTGAGATTATAGGGATTGTTTTAAGACACTTGATTGACTCATGCCCAGGAAGATTTATCAACGTCATAGACTCCCTTGATCACCCCTACCTGGATTCTGATTTAATATTGCAACTGCTTAATCTACGCCTGATTGGGAAGGCATGGTCAATCGCCGTCATACCTTGCGTCTTCAGATGCATTTGTCTAACTTCGCCTTTTATGATCTCAACGTTTTCAAGATGCTGGGACGACTCATTTCTAATCTCGGGCATGGCAGCGTTGCGGGCATTATCGTTTGATTGTTTAGTGTATTACGATATTAATAGCAATGTGCATCAAAAAGATCAATCCACCCACGCCGTTGGTTCACAATCCGATTCAGGCGCCGATTGCATCAACCCCAATTCCGCCTTGATGCAACACGTGGCATTCAAAGTTCTTCGAGCATATGCGAATTCTGGTGACAGGGTATCATATTTCAGTTAATTATTGGTGCCGGGTATTGAAGTGTGAGGACGGTACCGTGGTTTCTTTGCCCATCAACTTCAAGCACATTGTCTTCTTGACTTACGATTCTAGGACAAAGGATCCAGCGGCGGTCAAGTCGTTTGAACAATATAACATAACATGTCACTTCAGTCATCAATGTAGTTACTATGAGCTTTTGGTGAGCAAATTTTGGTGTCGGCATCCTTAGTCAATTTTGTCTAACCGTCTGATGCATATTTTCTTAGGGTATAATGACGAGGCCTGAATATCAGAGTAACTGAATGGTTACAGGTTTCTTTATCTTCTGAGAGTGACGACTTGGTGGTGAGAAAGCTCACGATTCTGCTCGCGTTGATGTACCCTTGCTAACGTTGTGAAACATTTCTAACAGGCTGCGACTACAAGTGCGAGTGAACAAAGATACTTCAGTATTCATGGTTTCTCAGCTTCCTTAGAGCTTGAGGGTGGCAGGTTTGACTTGGGTTGCTGGGTGCAGGATCCGGGTTGCATGCATCATGATCGATGAGCAAGGTTTTCTTTTTCTGATTTTAGTGACCTTCTATTGTGTTGGGTTTTGGTTTCAACTTAGAGAGTATAAATTCTGGGTGTCTCAATATGGGAGTTTTTGACGGTGCGTGGGGAGTGGCAACATGCCTGAGTGTGTCATGATTCCTGAGATGTCAGGGATAGTGTGTTTGGTTGGGCGTAATAAAATCAACTTTTTCAAGCATACTGTCAATCATGAGTATGTGAGTTGTGGTACAACTGAGACAAATACCAGATTAACTGAGGGTGAGCATTGGACTGATGAGAGTGGCGAGAGACCACGGTCCACTTTGCGGTGCATCTTTGGCACAGGTCTGTTTTAATGCAATAGTCTTTTGAGAGCGGACTGTGCGGCGCCCGCTGCCAATAGGGCTAGTCAATGAATTAAATTTAAGACCTTCAAGTCTTTGGATTAATAAGAACCAGGCTGAAATAGGACAATAACTTCAAAAATAGCACAATCTAGGCGCACTCAGGCACCTTCCAAATGATCAAATGAGCTTACAACTCAACAAGAAATTAATTAAAAGATGAATAAGGGTCTTATTATTATAAAATTCCAACTTTCATTAGTTGTTTACCTGAATGATAATAATAAAAGATAACAGCTTATTCTAAAAATCTAGTAATTATTTTTCCTAACTCAAAGGCTCCCAAAGGGGAGGAAAAGAGACACTTGACTATATCAAAATTGAAACACACACAAAAAAAGAAAGTAGGACAAAAACACCCCTCAAACTCGAAATTCACCCTCATACAACTTTTTCACAGCATAACTCTCAATGAACCCCCAGATTAAAATTGATAAACATCTTCAAAGCACCCACATGTATCATTCACAAATTTTCAAGCACACATTTATCATTAAAACTGAGCTGTTTACCACAAAAACTAAAAAATTCGCCAATTTAGCCTTGAAGCCTGAAAAGAAAATGAGAAATAGGGACTGTATCAAAATTCTGAATAGACAGCACGAAAGGGCTGCTTCCGCTCTACAACTCTGCTCAGCCAAGCTAAACTCTAACTCTATTGGTTGTACCCTCAAAATGAAATTCGATTTTATGTGAAAATACTCGAAATTGAATTTACCCAGTTTACCACCTGATATTACCACTAATGTTGTTGTATATGGTTTATAATTGATTTTCCATGTTCATATGCGAACATATAACCCTCCCCAGCTTATTTCTAGGCTGATAAGATGCTGTGGTACCCCAAAATCACAGTTGTATGATTGAAAATAGCACTTTTTATGATTTTGAAAGTGATTTTCGAGTTTCAAATCCACCCTTTTCATATGTAATGTTTAATTTACCAATGCTGTTGTTTGATAATCCCATAAGTCTATCTTTCAAAGTGATCCCTGCTTGCTTTTTCAGTTTACCACCCCAGTTTACCACCATCTGTCTGAGTTGTTGGATTTTCGAAATTCAGCCTTGTTCAAACCCATACCCAAAAAACCATAATATTCTGTATACCTTAATAAAACCATATAAAACCCATAATTTTCGAAATTCCAACTTGAAACCTGTATACTCCCCATAACCCATATATCACTCAACTACACATAAGTTCTAAACCCATAATTTAGACTTTTGGCTTCATTTTACACTACACCCCCTACACTCAAAAATCAACATGTAACATATAAAAAATAAAAAAAAATAAAATGAAATATGATGAAATAAAATGATAAAATAATAAAATAAAATAAAATGAAATGAATAAAATAAAAAAAATGAAACTAAAAATGAATTGTGTATTTGTCTCTTGAATACTTTTGATTACCACAACGGCCCATACACTTATGGCCCGCAAAAAAAAGGGACCGTATGATCCGCCTGCCCAACGCCCAACGCCCTCCAAAACCATACGGTGGAAAGCCCATGGTCGCATTGAACCCCAAAAATGCAACCATGACGCATCCACATAGCCTACGTGAAGCTCACGGTCGCAATGATCATAAGAAATGGGACCCCTGCACACATCAGGGAGGCGAGGGAGTTACCTTCACGGGGCCGAGTAAGGACCAGCGGTCGCATTCAGCACTCATATGCGACCGTGAGGCACCATGCAGGCCTATACAAGATCTGACGGTCGCATTGAAGTGGCCAATGCGACCCCCTGTGGTCTCGCTTGACTCATGGGAAGGCGTAATACCCCATAGACTGTCCCCCCAGAGATGAGAGATATACTACTTGGTACAAAGCAAAGGAGTACACCAGTAGACAATATATCCTTTACCTGTATATGTGAGCATATGCCTCTATAGTCTAGTGCACCCCGGGCAAGGCGGCGACGCTCCACATGTAGCGTCATGCGGGCGCTTCAGACCGGGGCCGGCGCTTCACGTGGAGCGTCAACAGGTGCCGCATGTCAAATGTCTGAAGTGTCATCGTGCCGCACACCAACTTTTGGCAGCGTCATCAGTCACCGCTCTCCCTTCCCTCAAGGGTTTTCTTTTCTCATTTCATTGCTCAAGTTCTCTTACATGTTTTCTTTTCAAATTGCACCCTACATAGCTACCTTGATTGGGCCACGGCGTGACCAATATGCCAGGTCGACTTTGACCGTGCGGTGGGCCAAAACTTAATCTTGGGATTCAACTGCAGTACTTTGAATCAGAGTGAGAAGCTGGATCACAGTCATAGTGAATTCAGTTCCAGCAGGAAGGTTTCTGAAAGGGAGTGTTCATGATAAAATGTTGGTTAGAATTTTATAAAACTTATGGAACATGTTGATGATTGTACAAACTTGCACCAAGTTCCTACACTCATTGGGTCCAAAGGTTTGCCTCTTGAGCTCTAAAGAACATGCACACATTCAATCTTTGACAGAGTTGGTCATTGAGGGTAAAAACGTGAACGTCTAGAGATACTATAAAGAACGCTTTGAAAGATTTGAGGATACAGAAACCTTGAAAAGAACCAATCATCCAAAAGAGATGACCGCTCTTGGTATTGTATCATCAAATCGTTTATTGAAAGAAACTATCACATGTGAGGTTGTGATATATTTTAGAGCTGGACCTCTTCTTACAAATCTTGCATCTACAGACAAGAACGATTCAGACGAAATCGTTTGAACTCATTTGTGGGTTTTCTTTTCATTGTCCTTACCAAAGCAAAACCGCTGTTTACCATCTGAAAGTGCTTTTCTTTTCCAAGCTTACAATTACCAATCTGATTTCGGATTCGAGAAATCAGTGTAGCTGACTAAACCCGTTTTGCCTCTCTTCCGTGCTTTGATCTCTGGAGTGATGGACCTTGACAAAGCTTGAATGCTGATATCATTCATATCGATTTGGAAGGTCCAAAGCAATTGGGTTTCAAATCATTTGAGATACTGATCCCCAATACTCACATATGTCTGATCCTCCAAGTGTCTTTAACCTTGTTAGTGTCTTTACTTCACCATCTCTTTTGTACAACACAAACTAAATCCTTTCGTTCATTTGTTTTTGCTATTGTTGTTCTTTCTTCTTGTGAAGGAACAAATTGATCTAAATCAGATTGTGGTTTTTCTTTAATTCTAGATCAGGTCCAGTGCCTCTAAAGGCAGTTTATAAAGACTGTGCATTCGTTTTAAGATATGCTATATCTCATGAAGCAGGTGCTGTGAGTCTTTCATTCTCGACTTCATAAGGCAAAGATCCTCAATACAACTGAAAGGGATGGTGAGAAATGACAGCACAAAGGTGAAGATGTGTACAAGAGAGCGATGAGATGAAAGAATAATAAAACTTGAAAGGCAAGCAGCGACTGATGATGCTATTGGTAACCAACGGTTGGTGTGCAGCACGGTGACGCTTCAGACAGTTGGCGTGCGGCACCTGTTGACGCTCCATGTGAAGCGCGGCCCCGGTCCGAAGCGTCCGCATGACGCTACATATGGAGCGTCGCCGCCTTGCCCGGGGTGGTGGTTAAGATGAGCTGCATGTTTTTTTGACACGTGAGAGGTTTTGAGTTCGAGCCACGTGTATGTTGTGTGTTGCAAATTGCAATAGACCTACGGGATATTACAAGTGAAGACATGTAAGCATTACAGGACATGGTTACAGTGTGAACAGTATAAAACCTAACCACTAACGTAACGTGATGACAATTGCAAGATGAAACCTAGGAGGACCAACCCCTGCTTGTGTCTCGAGCCAATCCCCTTCCACTCCATTCCTTGTTTCATACCGGATCCCTCCACGTTTCATCCATCCATTCCCGTCATCAACTTCCTCCTCATCATCCTATTCCATCATCAAGGAATTCTCAAATCCTCACCTTCACATCCCATTCACACATAAGCTATAAGATACAGAAACCTCAACCTCGACTACCAAACCAGCTGAAATCGCAGGATCACCTGAACAAAGTGAGTTATCTGATCCATGGCAATATGCGGTAGCAGCTAAAAAGGCCATTCCTTTTGATCAAACTGTAGATTCGGATCAACAACTGATCAATCAAAGGCTTAACCAGGTTAGTAATGTCCAGTGCTCTATCATTAAGACCATGATAATGAAAGAAACTGACACCATCCACTCCAACAACCACAAACCAACTTCTCGACACCAATACGAGTAGACGACAGTTTGAGTATGTCACGGAACAGCAAGGTCAGTCACGGATACGTCGCATTTACGTTGCCAATGCGACCAATGAGTGTCAGGCAGTACTTAACTAACCAATGTGATTTATCTTTCGCAGACCAGCCGTGCTAGTAACTCGTCTCAAAGTAGCAGCGGGCCACCCGCCGACTTGACGAAGGATCTTGCTCCTCCCAGGATAGTAAGTGAGCCAGACAGATGGCTGGGCACGTCTGAAGCTAATGATTCTATTCTGTAGACAAAAACCTTTGAGTCTGAAAACATACCAGGCACCCCAACACCCGCCAGTCAAGCAAGTGTCCACGAGGACAGTATTGGTGCGAGGATCACACCTCAGGAGACGCGGGCCAAAGCGGGAATGAACAAGATGGTAAGTTGATATGAATTGTATTACATTTATACACAAAAGCTGACGGCACTCGTGTTTACAGGCAGGACAGCGAGGTCAGTCCAGGCGGACGTTGACCAACTTGGCTGGGGTACAGATGGCATCTACGCAGGTTGGTCGCATTTGATTGAAAAATGCGACTGGCACTCGACTGAGGATGACTTACCATATTCAAACAGGAGAGCCAACCCACCAAAGTATGATTTGTAATCCCGCAGGCACCTAAGCGGGCCAATCAGAAGGCTACTCAAGGCAGGCGTGTAGAAGAAATCAAGGTCAGTATGAAGCACGGTCGCATCTTTCCCACAAATGCGACTTGAATGACTAACATTGAGAACCAAGCAACAGGCGGCTTCCTGTGATAACTCCCGTGCACAGTCCGCCGACGGAGACGAAGAAGGTGTAAGTCTTTCATTAATGAAAGGTTGGGTGAATGTTGGGGAAGCTGATGAGTTTTTGTCTCTTCAGGACTCACGCTTCATCTACATGCGCAGAGCTGCGTCAGTCAGTGTCGTCGATTCACGAAAAGATCAAGATCAGGCCCTTGAGGTGGATGCCAGGAAGCAGAAGCCAGCTGCTGAACATCAACCGAGCCAAGTAAGTCGCATTTACATCCCAGATGCGATCAAAGCACTGAGACACAACATTGCATATGTAGGATTCTGGGGTCGAGATGAGTAGGAAGCGTAAGAGTGCAAGGCTTCCTAGCTCTGAGGCGGAGTTATCCAGTCGTGTGGGTACTCCGACGTATGATCAGGGTTACGTTCCATGGCAAGCTGATGTTACTCAAACAAACCAAGCAGGCAACCCATCCTGAAGGAGTGCTAGATGACGAAGAGACACGACCAGCAGCCAAGGATCGGACCCAAGGACCTGCAAAGCATGGCAGTCAAGTGAGTGGTCGCATTTCCTTTTCAAATGCGACTTATTTTACTAACCATGGCCAACAGCAGGAAATCTCGATGGACATCTCTGATGAGGAAGGGGACGTCACTCTCACAGCACTTGTGAGTGATGATAAGTTATGTTCATGTGTATACAGAAGATGAATGACCTTCCCTTCACCATACAGGATCACGATAAGATAGAAGCCGGTGTGTTTACCCCGAAAGACCCGGTCAATGTGAAGGAAGGTCAAACCAAGGAGAAGAAGGCTGAGGACGATGAGGAAGATGTAAGCGATTCCATTACAATTTGAAGCGGAAGGCAAAACTGACCATCTTTCTTCACAGTATGACCCCGAGCGCACGATGGCCATTGATGAGGCTCGTGAGGAGTACCAGCTGGGTAAGCATTTGGCCATGAGATTGTATGTAGGTCGAGGTAGTGAGGCTGACAGAATGTACCTCCAGCCAAGTCTTTCTACGACAATGCTGCCGCGAGCCTAGCTAGGCTGGAAGCTTGAGCGCGCAAGTCAGGCCCTCAACGTCAGCAAATCCAAGACATGAAGCAAGCCTTGACTCGATTCAACCGTGCCACAAGAGCCAGGTTGGATCATTTGAACTCACTTGTAGAAGGCAATCAAACGGAGTTCAAGATCATTGAGGCGTATCAATTCAATGAGATTCCTCGACTTTACAAGGCGCCTGAGATTGCACCGGCGCGTCAATGGAAGCCTAAGAGGAAGGCTGCAGATAATCCCATTGGGGAAATCAGTAAGTTGACCTGCTGGATACTATACCATGCATGTAGCTGATGAGAACTTGCCTGCAATGTAGCATTCACCAAGTATTCTCACGCACCAGGACCTTCTAAGAAGGCTCGACGTGAGGCGGTGTCGAGTGATGCGGATGAAAATGGTGAGTCTGATTCCCTTATTCAATGTCAATTTACTTTAGCTGATGGTGTATGTGGAATACTATGAGTGACAGACATCAATCCCGCTGGGTATCTCTTACTCGAAGCCAAGGAGATCAAACTAGGAGGCTCTAGCGGACATTGGAGTCAAGTCAAAGGCCAACGTTAAAGGCAAGAGTGAGGCTCCCCCACCCAAGAGTACCGAGCAGGTCACGACTAGTGACAAAGAGGACGACCCGGTCGCGCTAGCTGCCAAGCGTAATGAAAAGGCATTGAAAGCGAAGGAGGCACAAGCTAAGGAGGGTCAAGTTGTTTATGTTGGCAAGGACTAAAAGCAGAAGAAAAAGAAGATGACGAAGAAGGAAATTCATGCGAGTGTTCAATACGGTCTCACAGCTAAAGCAGACAGCTTGTTCCACAGGACCAAACTCGACCTGACTAGTAAGTCTTTTTTATTTTTAATTCATTCCTCATTCCTTTTCAGTTTCAATCACAACCTACTCGACTTAGCTAGTATTCGCCAAGTTGATCATATACCAGTGGAGCTTTCATCTCCTGTGTCATGGTCGCAATCAAGCCAAGAATGCGACCAGGTCACTAACGGGAACGTCTGAAGGACCTTGATTTATCTCATAAGATGTATCGCCGGTGGTCGCATTGAATCAAAAGATGCGACCACGTCAGGATGTGACTAGACTATGCACATGGCTTGCATACTCTTCATTGTACGGTTGCAACCTTTCATTTGATGCGACCTCATCCCTGTCTCAGTTTTCTTTTGATTCAATCCTCATTCATCACTGTGTACTAGTTGCATTTTCCCCAAGAATGCAACTCCTACGTTTCAAAATCCCATGCTGATCCTATCTTTACACCCTTCTTTGACAGAACTACTCCTCAAACCGAGCAAAGCTGAGAAAACGGTTGTTGCAGCCCTTGACAAAATCTTGAGTGCTCCAGGATTTCAGTGGGGTGACGGTATGGCGGCGAACGTGAAGAACATTATTCGAACATGGCACTTTGTCGAGAGTTCTTTGGACGACAAACCGACTAAGGAACAAATGTATGAGCATACGGTTCAGATGAGTTACCTCTGTGAAGATGACAAGATGCGGGAGAGAATTCAAACTTGTAAGTTATCTAATCTATGATGAGGCGGGTAAATGACATGGACTGACATGCATAATAATTTCGTAGCACCTTGACTGATCCAGCTATCCATCTACGATCCTTACCTGACTGACACCTCGATCGATTGGACTCTTGTCGATCAATCTCAGCAATATCCTTGGGAGGAGCGTAACCACCTGTGTGTACTTGAATCTTCCAAACCTATTGGTGTATACAGGACCTGTATGATCCCATGGGTCCGAAATGTAGCGTGTAGATGTAGTTAG